GGGGGGGGGGGGGGGGGGGGGGGGGGGGGGCGTGAAGCAGGCTCCCCGCTGAGCAGAGAGTCGGATGCGGGGCTTGATCCCAGGACCCTGGGATCACGACCCGAGCCGAAGGCAGAGGCGTAACCCACTGAGCCACCCAGGTGCCCCAAGAAACAGGATTCTTAGGTCTAGAGGACACACTGATGGTCAGCAGCAAGGAGGAGGGGGAGGGGGAGGTGGGACAGGATTAACAGCACTTATGAAGATGAGCACTGGGTAAGGGACCAGCGTACTGCGTGCCTGACGCCAATACAGCACTGTTGGTCAACCGCACGGGAATGCGACCTTTCAACGGTTAAAAAAAAAGTTACTAAAATTCTCATCACAAAATACATTCTGTACCTATGCATGGTGGGAGATGTGAACTAGAAATAAAAGGAAACGTAGACAGCCGTGTCACGAGCACACCAAAGGCACCGCAGGGCCTTAAAACAAACAGGCCTGCACCTGTCAAAGAGAATAAACACCAAACATGTTTCATGGAGACGTCATGCCGCAAAGGGCAACAGATGGTAGCATCGTTGAAATCACAAAAAGGACCCGCCCGGAGCAGCCCGACTTAATGTTCCTGAGGCCCGGCGGCCGCTTCCTGGGAGTGAGTCCACGCGCACGGCCCCCACCTGGAGTCAGCGCGCGCCGGCTGGGGAACCAGCGCCACACCACTCGTTGTGTGACCTTGGGGCAGCCGCTTAACCTCTCTGCACCTCAAATTCCTCATCGGCAAGGTGGAAGTAGCGATCCCACTTGCCTCCTGGTTATTGCGAAGACCACGCGAGTCGCGCGCACAGAGCCCTCGCGAGAGCGCCTGCGCAGACTCAGGGAGCGCGTCGGCCGGCCTCACCGCGCCCCCCCCCCCGCCCCCCCCCCCCCCCGCCCCCCCCCCCCCCCCCCGCACCGCGCCCGCCCCGGTGCTCTGTGCTCGGTGCTCGCGACAGTCACGAAGTGGGATGGATCTAGCAGGCCAGACGGTAAGCGTGGGACGGGGGTATAACGCAGGGGATTTCGATTTTATCTGTAATACTTTCATCTCTAAAAAAGAACAGTGAAGGGCGCCTGGGTGGCTCAGTGGGTTAAGCCGCTGCCTTCGGCTCAGGTCATGATCTCGGGGTCCTGGGATCGAGTCCCGCATCGGGCTCTCTGCTCAACAGGGAGCCTGCTTCCCTTTCTCTCTCTCTGCCTGCCTCTCTGCCTGCTTGTGATCTCTGTCTGTCAAGTAAATAAATAAAATCTTAAAAAAAAAAAAAAAAAAAAAAAAAGAACAGTGAAGGGCTGTAGCTTCTACTAAAACAGGGTCTTGGCTACTTTGGGCTGCCGGGCTCGTGAACATATGCTGGCTGCTGCGAGCAGGTAACCTCCACTATTCACCTAAAAACCGTTGTGTAGCTGCTGCTTTCACGGAAATGTTAACGTTCATAGCCTCCAATTTTTAGGTACCTTTATATTCTAGTGGAAATGAGATTAAGATCTATAAAAATTAGGGGCACTTGGGCGGTGCAGTCGGTGAAGCGTCTGCCTTCAGCTCAGGTCATGATCTCGGGGTCCTGGGATCAAGCCCCACATCGGGCTCTCCGCTCAGCAGGGAGCCTGCTTCTCCCTCTACCCCTCCCCCTGCTTGTGCTCTCTCTCTGTCAAATAAATAAAATCTTAAAAAATCAAAGGTCTCATTTCTTAGAAATAAATGAAATGAAATGACATGACATGAAGTGCTCAGTGAGAAAAGTGGTCGTTCGCTTTCCCATTCCCAGGCTCGGAAGACAGGCTCTCAGCCCTCATCTCCCTCAGCTGGCCGGGTCTGAGGCGCCCTCCCCACAACCCTCCTCACTCCTTCCTGCTGGAGGCACCTACACCGGCAGAGCCGGTGTCCCAGGGACCCCAGCACCTGTTCCCTCGTCCCGGCTGGCCAAGCGCTGGGACGCAGCTCAGAACCCGGGCCGCTGCCCCAGCCAGCCCCAGCATCGAAGGCCGGGAGTTAGCTCGCTGCTTCTGCACGCTGCCTGTAGTCTCGGCAGCCACACCTGTCCCCAACGAGGCCTGGCCACCAAGAAGGAGAAACAGGAAGAAGGTCCAAAATGGGCTGCGGGGAAGGGTCATGTGCTCAGATGGCACCAGCAGCTCTCGACCTTGAGCCCCAGAGTCCCCGGAGGGGAGTCACAAACCAAGGTGTGGTCCCCACCCCACACTGAGTCTGGACAGAAGGGTGTGACAAGGACAGGGGTTCCACTCAGGAGTGACTTCATTCCTCAAGCCCGACTTTGCAGACACAGAGTAACCACACGTCGAGGGAGGGTCTGAGAGGTGCTTCAAGTTGAGGAAAACCACCATGGAAACTACAGGCGCCAGTTTAATGCCTGGAGGCCACAGAAGTGGCACCTGGTTCCTGGCCATGTGATGGGAGCATCAACGGCCTCGGGGCCCTGCGTTCCAATCAGGGAGCGGTACGCACCATCCCCTGGTTTCCTGTATGAATACTAAGTCTCACCACGGAAACAGACCCTGTAAGAGTCGGGACGAACCACGGAAAGGAAACAAAACGCCGTATTATACAAGGAACAACTACCTCACAAGATCTGCATTTCTTTTTTAAGATTTTATTTATTTATTTATTTGACACACAGAGAGAGAGAGAGACACAGCGAGAGAGAGGGAACACAAGCAGGGGGAGTGGGAGAAGGAGAAGCAGGCTTCCCGCTGAGCAGGGAGCCTGATGCGGGACTCGATCCCA